GAGAGAGGGAGAGAGAGACAGGGAGAAAGAGACAACTATCTGTGCCTGACTGCTTACCCCTGGCCCTTGCCGAGGGGCCACCTTACATCTAACATCGAAAATACCCCCGCTGGCTACGCAATCCAGGTCGGGCAAAACTGATGTACGGGACTGTATATCCGGTAATAACGACAAAAAGCAAATTTAGTTTGGCTTTGAGGAAGCGCACCTCGATAGACAGATCCGACAAATATATATATATAAATCAAAACACCTTGGAGTGTATAGATGAGTAAAAAGAGATGTAAAAAACGCGGTATGCAAGCAAAGTGTAATATGTAAAATGTAACGTAATATATTATATAGAATGCACGTCATGTGCATTATCGTCCATTAGTTCTTCCTCATGCCTCGTGCCCCATAATTTTTTAATTCAACAGAACGGGGCTCTCCCTTCTCCGCTTTTAAAGAGGCGATTCGTGTCTGGAATAAAATATTATGGTCTTGTTTTCATTAACAGAGCTCTTTGTCTTTCTATCTGTTTAAATTTTCATGATTTACTTGCTAAATATGAGGAGTCCTCGGTATTGAAATTAATGAAGTAGCTCGATACTGTATGTGTGCGTGTGTTTGTGTATGTGCGTACAGGCAAAGAGATTGTGGGGGAAACTTATGGGCATGTGCGTCTCCTCACCCCTGGAAATTAATAATGCGTCGCACCCCGACAAGAGTTACATTACCCAAACTAATTCGAAGTCAACGGCGCGCTTTTTGCATATTTATGTAATATATTATATTGGAAGAGTATAATTTGTAATATCTTTCGATAAAAAAGTTTCCTTTTAAAAGAATTTTATTTAAACCTGTTAAAGATAAATTATACAGCTTCCTCTCCATGCGAAGACCTACTTAAATAAAAAGTAATAAAAATTTATTCTCGAAAGCAAAAGATTTGTGTCTTGGAAGCTTCGATTGGAAGATAAAATGATTCATGTAAAAGATTTTATATGAAATCTTTATATAAAATATATGTAAAACTTCCCTTTGAGCGTGGTGCTGTATGAGAGAAATGCGCCGCAATCTGTGCCACATTGTATTCGGCGTTGTGCCATATACAGGCGTCACGTAAACGCAGAAAAGGGAATAATCGCGAGTGCAAAGCGACGTAATTGCACAGCGACAATAATGAGCAAACAGTCGCATTGTTTCCTCGCGAAATGGAATTATAGATACGATTCCTTTGGTTATAAACGGATTTACCTATCGCCGGCGCAATATTGCAAAGTGCAACTGGCGACGCGGTGCACCGATGCACTTCGTGCATCAAGAGTGACGTAAAGTTTGCATTGAACGCAGGGGATGCGAGTTCCACCCTTCGGATCTATAGCGAACCGTATCGTCCGCAAATGCGTTTCCCCAAAGAGGGCGAGAGATTCGTATTTTTTCTCAAACTCCAAAATTGTGTCGCGATCAAACGGGCATTTTGCCAGTTTTTACATGTTTAAACATGTGTAACTAGAATATCGACGGTGCGATGCGCATGTTTACGCACAGGATTCATATTGCGGCGAAAGCTTAAAGCGCATAACAGAATTCTTTTATCCTTTCATTTCCCAGGATATAATCCAGGCCAGAGGATATATAAAGCGGAAAAAGATTTCCTGTTGGATACGCCTTATAAACAACATATACATGTACATACATGTTACCTATTGTGTTATTAACAATTTGTAAAGATTCACATAGATTTATCTTTTATATAATATGCATTTATTACAAAGTTTATTTTAAATATATTTCTTTCACGAATGAGATAACACGAGTACAACTTTAGTTGGACGAATAATAACAGATGAAAAGTATAGAGGTGAAAAAAAAACGTCGAAAAAGTTTTATATATATATATATGTACCAAGAAAAAAGGGCGAGTAAAAAATAATATTTTCCACGAGATTCATATAAAATATATATCACTGCGCATGATAGCGGAATACCGTAATACGTATAAGAGTGATAAAATATTTTGTACTTTATATCCCTCTTCACGCTGAAGATCTTCTTTTGCATTAAAAATACCTCTGTGTGTATCAACGAGCGTTGCTCAATTTATGATGTATGCTACATTGATAGATAAATTTCTCCCTCTGCCAATCAAGCTGCAATTATAATTTAATAATTATATTATTGTTTTAACGCAGTAAGCATGTTAATTTAAAAATCATTTCGTTCTTCTTACGGTTCTGTCCGTTTTAGCTTTGAGCAGTTCTGCTTTTTCCGTTTGTTTCCTCCCATCCTCAGGGAAACTGAATTTGTTTTTACAAGAATAGTGTATAATTAATGTAACTTGTGGCAAAATTAATAATTCGTAAATATATGTGCGCAAATATGAATAAATTACCTGTGTTTCTCTGCAAGGCTTACATCGCGAGAGTATAACTCTGTTATAATAACTTTCTCGTTATTTTCAGTATTCAGGATTTTAGAAGGAAACTCTTTTTTACTTGCTTTCTTATTTAAAGACGATATTCTATTTTCTCTCGAGTGTTGTTTACGTAAAGTGAATTTATTATAAAACTTGTGCTCTCCGGAATTATTCCGATAACTACAGTGATTCTTTTCGGCTTCCGCACGAGACGTATTCGATTCGATGTTCTCGCTTGCGTGGGAACTCAAAATATTAATTCGATTGTGCAGATCCGACAGTTCCTTCAAATTTAGTGACTAGAAAGAATGGCCGGAAAAATTAAAAAATTACGAACCAATACGAAAAGTTACTCGTTAATTGGTCTCTTTGCGTACCTGCAACCAATCTTCCGGGTTGAACGGGCTTTTCTTGATTTTCATAATATCTTCAAATCTCGCCTGTAACATTTCGACATTTTCGTTATGTCTCTTACGAAAAGCGTTCAAACTACTGTCATATTTTTTCTTCAGTAACTTCAATTTGTTCTGGTATTCCTCCTTTTGGCACTGTTAATTTGAAAATTTAAAATATTTGTAAAATATTTTAAATATTAAATATATTTAAATATAACAAAAGAGAGAAAAAACTTATGAACATGTAACGCATATATTTTATATTTAGGAATTTCTGTTTGCAAAACACCTCGACTTTTGTTTGCAAATTGTTTTTCTCCTGCGACAGAGAGGTAATACATTCTTGAAGGTTCTTTATTTCGTAATCTCTCAATTTTACATCATTCATCAGACTTTTCATTTCTTGCAATTTTTCCTCATATTGTCTTTTGAGAAATCTCAACTTATCTGCAACGGTTTCAGTATTATAATTTACTTCTTGGGCGACCGAATCTAATTTATCTTCATCTTGTTGACAAGACTGTGAGAAATTGTGAGCATTAGTCCAATTATATTCAATATCGCGACGTCAATAGTCATTTTTTATAAAAGAACAACCTGACAAATTCTATGATTTAATAAACGATAATATCTAATAAATTCGTTCACCTTATCGATATATACTTTTGTTTTATGTTTTTCTTTCGTATCTTCAATTTTGACAGTTTCTTTGGTTGGACACCGTTCAGATATATTATCCGTCTCCTCGTCATATTTCCTAACTTCTGTTTGAAGACGAAGAATTTTCTCGTAAATCCTCTTGGGAAGTGTGTACAGTGTGTCCTTAAGAGATGACTTAACCGTGTCTTCGTGTGTACGTAACAGTTGATCGTTAGTACTTTTTACAGCCTCTATGTCTGCCTTCAATGTCTCGTTTCCATGTGACAACTCTTGCAATTTACTTTCGACACTCGCAGTGGAATTCCGGTAGCTGACTATTTCACTCTTCAGATAGTCCACCTTCGTCAACAGCCTCTCCTTATCTGTGTCTAAATCGGACAGATTTGCCTGTAGGATACTCATCGCATTGTCGCTTTCTCTCCTCAATGTTAGTATGGTGTCGTTACTCCAGGCGAGTTTAATTTCAGCCTCTCTTAATTGATCGCGCAGCGATCGAGTCTCGTCTTGCAGCTTCACGATATCGCTGCGCTTCTGCATTACCATGGCATCATATTTGATACTTCCTTGGGTCAGAGCAAGCCTATTCTTCTCGTCCTTAGACTCCAGCTCCGCTATAATTTCGGCGTTTTTGGCGATGGTCTCGTTCGCCTGTATAAGCTTATTTGTAAGATCATTATTCTTCATTTGCAGCTCCGTCAATCTGTTGAGCAGATAAATCGACCTGAGAATGATGGATCGAGTACTACTAATAAAGACGAAAATAATGAAAATAATGAGGTTACTAACTTTTTTCTCATATTCTCGACATTATCGGTTTTCTCCTTTAGAACGTCGACGGTCCGCTTTAAGTCGTCTATCTGCTGAGTTAACTTACTCATCTGATCTCTTTGTGCTCGTATTTCCTCACTCTGCATTTCGTTTTCCCTCGAAAGCAGGCTCTTTATGTTGACGAGATCGGCGTTCTCGATTTTCAACGCACTGCATTCCGCGCGATAAGAAAAAATGTCATTCTCCAACGCGGTAAGCTGTTCGTGCAGCCTCTTGATCTTCGAGTCCCTTTTATCTATTATAGCTTCCAACACCCTTTCCTTCTCCAACATCTTTTTCCTTAACTGCTCCTGAATCGCGCAGTCACCCTCACCTCTTCGCAACACGTGCTCCGCCACTTTTTGCTTTAATTCCGTGATCTCAAGGTCCTTCTTTTGCAACTCCTGCTGCTGCCTCGCGAACTCTTTGACAATTTGTACATGATTATCTCCGGCACCTTAAATTTTTATCACGTATCGTTACTCGTCTCCCCAATGAAAATACACGAGATACAATACCTTGAAGAACCGTGGATATTTCGTGTATCTTGTCGATGGAACGTTTGATATGCGTTGCGAGAGCGCGATCGATATCTTTATACGAAATTACTTCGTTCAACTCCATTTTTTTCGATTCTTCAGAATATGTGGTAGTAGTGTCGATATCATCTTTCTGAATCTGAACGCTAACTAATTCTCTAGACGAATGACAACCACTATTACTCGAAATATCGTCTGTAATATTTTATTAAACTTTATATAAATCCGTACAGATCTATTTCAGATTAATTATTACCTCAGATTATTATCTCAGGTTAATTATTATTATATTTATTATCATTTAATTATTATTATTATTATACGTATTATTAATAATTATTACGATCAATTATTTCTCCTACAAGAGCATTTATGTATCATATTCGTTTATTTAACAGACAAAATTTGATACGAATCAATTGATAAAATCTACTGACCGAAATTTATATAAACAAAAAAACAGAAAGATATGAAATTAAAAAACACTTTTTTTAGAAAGACGTAGATATAAATAAGACACTGTACCATTATAAAACATGTACCACTGAAAAAATTTACAATATCTGCGTAATTTCTCGAAAATATACATATTTAATTAATAAAATTAAATTTAACAAAACTTTTATTAGTAAAGCTTTTAATAGAAAAAGCCTGAAAGGCCTCAATTCTTTAGATAAACTTTATATTTCGAGAATTTCGGGACGTTCATTGTAACATCACGAAGAAACAACTACAGGAATAATAAAATAATTGATTGTAATAATAATAATAATAATAATAATAATAATAATAATAATTAATAATATAATAATAATATAATAATTAAATAATAATAGATATAATATAATAATAATTAATCTGAGATAATTCTTTGTTTCTTTAGAATCATTTGATCCAAACTGTAATAAATTGATTTAATATGAATGATTCAAGGCGGCGGATTATTGGAACGATACAACCGATAAAAAAAAAAAAAACGAAGAAATCTGCATAGCGTACCTGTAGTCGGCTGCATCGATCCGTGTCCGGTATCGAAATCTGTGTTTGTAATTTCGCTGGCGGCTTCTTGGCTGTAACATGCCACATAAGCCTTTAAGTTATCTATCTCCCGCAGACGATTACGTCGTTCTAGTTTACACTCCTCCAACTCGGCTATGAACGCTTTTAAAGCGGACAACGCGCTCTGCACGTCTAGGCAAGTGTCGTGCTCGCACTTGGTGTACTCGCATATGCCCTCGTACGCTATCTTAGACTCGTCGAAATTATTCAGACTATTTTTCAGCATGTTAGTTAGATTACCGACTTCCCGCTCCATGCAAACCAGCTGCATTTCGCACTGCGAGATCTTGTCGTTTTTTGCCTGAATCTCATTTCTCAAGCTGGCCATTACATCATTCATCTCTACCTGATCGTGAACAATTACTATGTATCTACTTATGCATTCTTCCGTAAGGGCTATTTAAGATTTGGGATTACGACGATTATGGCGGTAATCGGGTAATTCGTTTTAATGTTAAAGATTTAATTATTTTTACAACAATCTGGCTCCTTCACATTGTAGCCACTTGTAAAATTTATGCTACACATCTGAGAAATGGGGAAAGTATTTCAATTAAAAAAATTATTATTTTTACGTTACGTTATTAATTTTTTTTTTTTTATTACTATACAAAACTACAATTCTCCGTGTCTGAATTCTCTGTATCTTCGCAATAATCGGTAAGCCTGTAATTCGTAAAATCTCTTTAATCACGTTCACGCCGTTTCTATCCTAATTATATAAATTAGTGCAGTGTAACATTGTACCGGTGTGCTCTCGAATAATTTATTTTCCTATTATTAATTGAATCAACGTTAAAATTAATGGCTCGTGATGTGACGCACGAGGCCAAATGACGCACCTCACGAGTGTCGGCCGCAACAGACATTTGCTTTATCAACGTCAATAGTCGTTTTATTTCGTCTTCTCTGTCCGCCAACGTGCAACTTAGCTCGCGATATTGCTTTTGAAGCATATCACGTTCCCGCCAGACATTTTTCACCTGCTCTAAAGCGATACCGCAGCTCTCCGCCTCTCTCGATAAATGCTCCATCTCTTTCACCTTACGCTAATTTATCACATATTTATACACATATTTAATCCATTGAGCTGGTAAGTTCGATGCAACTACTTATAAGCAGTTTGTATTAAGTGGCATTTACCACACGTCTCACACGTACGAACCGAAAGTGACTCGTTTTCCACGAAAAGCAATTCTGCCTCTTTGACCTCCGTCCTGAGTTTCTGGATTTCCTGCGATTGGAAATAACAAACTTGATATTTTCTATCTAACTTCGTCTTCAGCTGATCCACCAGGAACTCGAAAGAAGAAATCTATGGGAGAGAGAGAGAGAGAGAGAGAGAGAGACGGCAAAATAGTATCCAGCTGAAATGCGATACGTAATTCGCATAAATCTTTTAATGTCGTTACTTTTGCATTTAGATCTTCTACCTCGTCGTCGCGCCTGTCGGTCATCACTTTCAACTTTTCTTGCAAGCTCTAGAGATGCGAGATTTAATTGATTACACAAAATTTTTAATTGAAGCGGCCACGAATAAGTACCGATTTACATTAATGTTACGCCTCAAAACGTTCGCGTTTTCGTCCTTCCCTTTTAACAATGTTTGCAAATGCTTATTCAGTTCTCGCAGCTCTTCCAGCTCGTCTTCCTTCACCTGAAAAGCAAAGATGTATATTTTTTCGCCGGGTATGTACTCGTTGCACGAATCTCGTTTGGATAAAATCGGCCAATGTTGTTTCGTACGCCAAGTTCGTTCTTCAGAACAATGATCTCCGAATCCTTCTGGATGATCACTCCCTTATGGCTTCTCTCGCAGATTTCCGAATTTATTTCTAACTCACTTTTGGACGTGGATACGCTTTCGTTACTCTCGTAGTACTCAGTACTCGAGGGCGAAATCTCAATATCAGGCTGTTTGTTGTAAGCGACATTATTATTACATTCCTGCGTTTGCACGGCCACCTCGCAAATGTCTTTTGCCGTTTGGGAAGACGCATCAACGAACTCGATACAGACTCTCGCTCGACCGTTTCGCTCTGCAAAATTTATTGCAGCTTATTTTTTTTAAATTAACCAAGTTCTTCTAGGCCGACAGATTTCTTTCCTTTTTACAACTGATCTCTTGCGTCTTTTGCGTTTCGAATAAACATTTCAAATAAATGGATATAATCTTATAGAATAATTTTCATATTTAAAATAAATGGATATAATTTTATAGAATAACTTTCACATTTTACAGCTTTTACCTCGCGTATCTTTCACTTCGGCTAATATATTGCAGGACGTTACGCGTGACATCATATAAGTATTATTTTCCAATAATGGATTCACGTTCAGATTCGCTCTCAGAACGTGCGTGTTAGCTAGTAACGGATTGTAAACTCCTCTACCGTATCGGAATCTATCAGGACGAAAGTACAGATAAGTGTCGGAATGTTGCAAGAATGTGATCTTATTTGCGTTGAGTAATCTATGTCCCTCTTGAGAGAGCGGTCTCATTATGGATCTAATTCTCATTTCTTCCACCTTATTGGTCCCGATACTGGAATACCCTCTGTCCTGTAAAACGAAGAAATTATCATCTCTGGTCGGAAGAATTTAATGCATTGTCAGAAGGCTCACGAGATTGTTCAGGTAATCCTGTTGTTCCGGGGTGAGATTCAGAGATCTGTATTTTTGCAGCTCCCGTCGCACAGCGCGAAGCTCGCTTTGTGCTTGAGCCGTAAGTGCTATCATGTTTTCCATTACCGCATCGAATGGTATTACCTTTCCTGGCTACAAAAAGAAACCGTGACAATCGAGATTTTCCTTACCGCCGACGAGATTTCTAGATTTCTAAGATTTCTAATTTCGTTTTAAAAATTTTACTTTAGTCTTATTTTTAGTTCGTGTGTGTGTGTGTGTGTGTGTATAAATAAAACGGGAATCTTTTCAGTAGCGATTTAGATTCGGAAACATTCTTAAAAGAAAAAATAAAAATTCACGTGGGACACAAACCGCAGAATCATGCTCGTTGAGCTCGCGAAAGTAGCGCGTGCTCTCCAAGATATTTGGGCTCCAAGCTCGAATGTCCGTGCACGAATTATACAACTTCAAACGACCCTCCGATCTTTTCTTCGGAAAAACGTAATCCCCGTAAATCAACGGTACACCACTGTTTGGTCTGCCCGCCAAAAAAATGCGGGGTCCATGCTCGGCGTAAGACATCTCTCATCGGTCTCTCGAAACTCTCTCACGATCCAATATTTGCAAATTTTCCGTCGATTTTCCCTTAACTTTAATAAACAACTGTAAAGCCTCCAATTTTTGCGAACATCATGCCCCACGCAAAGTTACGGATTCTTGCCTTGGCGCTCAACCATATTTTATTTATATACCATAGTAACCGCGCGAGAAGAAGACATCGATACTGGGCGTAATTTAGAGGGACGCTTTACGCGGGATTATGTAGGTAAATAATAGGATGGCTTAGAAAATACAATAAAATATCTTTATTTCATAAGCTGCCATTAAAAAGTATTACAGCGTTAATAAGTATTTTCGTCCTCGTTATTTATTAGCTACCTCTTATCCGTACTAAGGAATACAATGCGACGTATCGCGTTAAAAATATATCTAATTTCGTCTCACGAATGCTAATTTAGCACTGATATATCCCTTCAAATAACAACTACGGCTCAGTAAAGCACTTAGTACAGACGTATAAGTACTTGCAAACGTGTCTAGTCCGTACTCTATTTGGTTAAGTACAAAAGTTCCTCATTTCGAGTTTCGAGCAATAAAATACGTACAGATTAAACTTAAGGGTGATCTTACAACAATGCTGTTCATCCTCTCATTCAGACATTCTCTCTCTTTCTTTCTCTCTTCAACTTGCATACTGAAAAATATCTTTTCAAGACATTTCTTTTTAGATATTATACATGATCTGTGACGCATGAACATTCTAAAATGAGAACATCAAAATTAAAAAGAAATATATAAAGTGTATATCTCAGCGCGATCGCGGAATTGATAATGCATTTGATGCAATTAATAATTTGGCAATGGGACAACATGATCTATTAGAAACAACGCTTATTGCGGAAGTCCAAGTGATGATTTGCGATTACGAAAAAGATACACTCAATAGAAAAATATCTAGAATATTTTAAATATATATATCTTTGTATATATTTATATATGTACATGTTTTCTTTTTCGAATTAAGTAGAAAAAGTGAGATTGAGCGTATATAAAAATGGACTCGTGTAACTACGAAGGCAGTATAGATATCTTTAATGGTGTAAATATAATTGGAATGTAATATTCCTAACGTATTAATTCAACTTCGAAGGCACATAAAGGACGATATTTATACACGCATGAAAATACAATCGTTATTCCTGACGTTTCCGTCCTAAAAAACATTATCCTTCAATGCTTAGGCCCCAATTGGGTAATAGATAACATAGATAAAAATGAAATTAAAATTCGAAAACTTCAACAGTTTAAACACGCGATGGAGTGGACAAAATAGATACACGATATTATTTGTCAGGCTTCAAAATTTATAACGATATTTTCCCCACGAAGTGTAGCCTAATACACGACGTTCTGACGAACGGACTATTAATTACGAAGTATCAACGTAAGCATTTCTCTTAATCCTTGGTTTCGCAAAAAGTATCATCATTTCTTCAAGTATTCAGTCACAATTATAATACTGTACACAATTTATAATACTATACAGAAATTTGTTTTTCGAAATTATATTTTCCTCATTTTTCTATGCTTGCATCTCGATACTTCGTAATCAGACATCCATTATTTTACAATTCGTAAATATAAAAAAATTTATTTAAGTATTACTTTTCGTAAATATAAGACACGTTATACTCTACAAATGCAGTACACCCTGATCGTAATTTTGGTGATGATGGTGATGGTGGTGGTGGTAGTGATGAGTGGACGACGCTGAGGCGTCGTCTTGCATTGTCATGCCTGTAAGATCGACGATCTCGTCCGCTTCTTCATCACTACCAGCACTCTGTGTGGACTGACGACTTCCCGACGATAATTGGCTGTTACGTGAAAACGAACCACGGCGAGGTGCGGTCAATGCTGCCCTTTGATTCGCCGGTTTGACGGTTATGATAAGATTAGAAGAATTCGCTATCATCATATCCGTCACCTGATCCACACATAGATAATTATCATAAATAGAGAGAAAAAAGAAGAGGTAAATATCCTGCAAATATTAGGCTTGTTCTTTTTGGCTGAACTGATTATACTAGTTCACAGTTTATCTTTCTTTCTTACGCTGGAAGAAGAAAGATAAATTCTGAACTAATGCAGTCAGTTCAGCTAAAAAGAACAGACCCAGTATTTTATTTATATAGCATAATATATTTGGAACATCCTTAAAATATCCTTATTGCAAAGGAAATTGTTTTTTCAGATATTATCTCATTAGAACATATGATAATTGAATATATTATTGCATATATTTGATAGAAAAATATTTAACTAGAATTAAACAAATAATTGTTATTTTATAACATTTACAACTGCGATTATGATTCTTATATCAATACTTGATAATTTAGTACTTACTTAGTACTTAGTATTTAGTAATTAGATAACCTCTCAGTCACTTTTGTAAAAATATTACTACTTACCTGATCAAGCGTTTTGCCTGCAACTTCTATTCCATTTACTTCTAGGACTTCATCATTCACAGCTAAAAGTCCTGTACTCTCTGCTAAACCACCTGGTACCAATCTACTGATGAATACACCTGGAACTTTCTCAATTCCCCCACCAGCAGATGGTGGCAGTATACGAAAGCTTTCACCATCTTTGATATAAAATCCTAAAGGTTTATCAGATCCATGTTTTAATAGACGTACACGTCGACAAGTTTCTGGCAGTATGTCGACATCAATAATCGCAGATACCTGACAACAAATGTAATCAAGTAACAAACCAGCCAATCAAGTATTGCATATATCAAAAAATGAACAAAGAAACAGATACTTACCTGCCTAAAATCATGTGGATTTGAAATAACTATAGATTTTGGCTTCCCTGGTGTACCACCCAAAATACTAGATATCAAGTTTTTCGGCTTCATTGTACCATATCCATTATCCCACGCTCCATCTCCTGTCATAATAATTCAATCAAGCGTACGCTCACAAAAGACGTACGTACAAAGTCAGAGATACGAAATCTTACCTTTCCTGTGTATAAAAATTCTGAGTAGGCACTTGGCATTTGCTAGAGCCCTAGCCAGATTGTTATCATTATTGATAGGAAGTGGATCACCATCCGTATCCGTGTACCAGATTGAAAAGTTGAAATCTGCCCCCAGATCATGCCGTTGCGCCAATAGCTTTCCAAATTCCTCGTAACTCATAGGCTCATTACGATTCATAGAAAATCGAATGATGTCGGCGTCAAACTGCAAAACAGTTTAAATAACGTGCAATCCTGCCATCTTCCATATATCGTCATTCTCGCGACTGCCAGCACAATGTATGCAGCATCTACCTTGCTTTTCACGGCGACAATGCCGTTGTCCACCTTGTCCTGCTTCTTGGACATGCTCGGAGCTCCTGCTTTCACCCAACAACGTACGTATCACTGTTTCTCGGCTAACTTAAACTACCCCACGAGGACAGGAAGACGTGCATACCACTGCATACCGAACTGCGACGGCGTGCACAGTACATTTCAACTGCGCTCACGGTGAATTCCTAAGGATTCCTAATCGTGCTAGGGATTTTTAATGGAGCTAGGGATTTATAATAAGAGAGTTACTATGGATCAATTTTAACTTAAAAACAATCATCTTTAACTTAATTTATTAATTTATTTTAACTAAAAGTATTATTTATTATTTAGAAATATTATTTTAAAAATAAAATAATAATATAAAATATAAAATAAATAAAATATAATCAATTTTAAGTTTTGCAACTTTTAATAGTTAAAACTAATTGGAGACGAGGCCGGTCTTATTTTTAATTATTACTGTAGTTTCCTAATAATGCTAACGATTTCTAATAATTGTCAGTTTAACTTTATAATAAGATTACGAAACCAATTATAATTATTACAAATATTTGTATTCAAATGAAAATTCAAATTTAAATTGATTTAATTAAATCGATATTTAAGTAAATATCGATAATATACTCTCTCTCTAATAGGGATTTCGTTGGTGTTTCTAGTAACTAAGAATTTTAATGCTGAAATTCTCTAGATGGTTCGATCATGTGATGCGAATACTGATTGGTCATAAATTGCAAACTGTTTTCTCAATTCATAGATAGACAACGCGTAATTGCTTGTTTCACTTCTGTCTTTTGGATCATAACATTGCTAGTTTGGTGTTGCCCGGTATTTGGCCGTAGTTGTTTATTCTTATAAGATCTATAATAGAAAAAAAGACGATAAATGTAAGGAAATAACAAAATCAAAGAAATAAAAATAATAATTGTAACTACTATTAAACTGCAGAAACAATTTTTTTATAATTATATTTTTATTTGCATATTACATTTAATGCTGCGATAATCAAATTAATTTTTTCGTATTATAGATAAATTAATGAAAATTTGTGCAGATGGGTGATCAGGATCCAACGAGTATTATTAATATGATAAAAGATCTACGTTCTGGAACAGAATCTTATCGCCGAAGTGTTGGAGTACCACTGCGTTACTCTGGAACTGGCTACATATCTTCTAAGTTCAATGAAAACTCAGATGATAGCATTATTTCACCGAAACGATCAAGAATAGATGAATCTGATTCATCTCTAACTAATAAAACTCAAGATTCAGACTCTATTCCAGGTAGTCCTTGGGAATGGCGACGTATGAAAGGAGAGGTAAGAATAACATAATCTACATATGATGTTCAAATAAGCCTGGAAACATTGGTTTTGAAAAATATGTTTTTGTACAGGTTATATCATTAAAAACCAGATTGACACATCAAGAGGCAACTGTTCAGCAGCTACACAGTATACGTAGACAAATGGAAGAAGTCTTTGAGAAGGAGAAAGGTCTTTTACAAGTCCAGGTAGAGCAAAATAAGCAAATCATTCAGCAGCTGGAAATCCGTCTTGATGTTGCACGGCGGACGATTCAGGATGCTAAAGATAAGCAAGATGCTGCAGAAAAAGAATGGTCCCAAGTAATTGCTTTTTACTTTAATTTGTATATTTTTTTATATTATATTTTCCATTACATATTTTCGTTAACTCAATCTGGATTGATTTACATTTAATTAGGTGAAAAACAATTTAGAAAAGAAAATAGCATCATTATTAAGTGAAAATGCAAAACTATCAGAAGATCTAAGAAATGTTAGTACAAAAGAAAAGTCTCTATCTCCTAAGGATGTCAATGACTCAAGTGAATTACAAATGAAACTGGAAACTGCAGAAGCAAGAGTAGCCATGCTGGAGGACAGACTAAAGGAATATCATAAAGTGCAACAGGATTATGAATTGCAAAATGTGGAAATACAGAATATGAAAATGAAACTGGAGAAACTCGAATCAGAAAGAGCATTGTGGGAGGAGGGCAAGCTGTTAGCAGGGAGAGCCGCGAGAGCAAATGATCTTGAGAAAGAACTGAATACAGCGAAAAAGACAATCGTTGTATTAAAAGAGTCAGTCAAGGAAAAATTACTCTTGGAGGAACAAATGGCCAATATGACAAAAAGGTACTTTCGGTGCATTTGTAAACTTATCATGCTTAGTTAACGATATATAATTTGTTACAGATTGGAGCATACTGAAAAAGTGGAGCAACAAGTGGCAATGTTGGAGGCGAAACGATCTGAGCTTGCACTTCGCTTGCAAGAATATGAAACGATTGGAATTACTGGTGGCCCGGCAGCGATGAAGCGAGAGTTGAACAGACTTCAACAAGCTGAAATAGATCTGAGAGCAGAGGAAGGCCAACTCAGATCAAAATTAGGTGCAGTTATGCGAGAATCACAGAATTTAACAAAGAATTACGAGGATGCGAAAAAATTGGCTACTGACTTGACATCATCCAAGGATAAACTGAGCAAGCTTGTCAATAGACTCCAGAAGAAAATGATGCTCGTCACTAGAGAAAGGGATAGTTATAGACAGCAATTAGATTTGTATGAGAAGGAGATAACAGTGGATGGCAATAATGCAATGACTGAGAGAATACCAGCTTTGGAACGCGTTATAGATGGATATAGGTATATTTTCATAGTAATATACTAGTGTGTATATATATATATATATATATATATATAAAATTTTTCTCAAATAATTAGAAGCTATTTTATAAGAGAGAAAATATTTAAAATCATCTTATAGGGATTTAGTTAGCAAATTAGAATCAGACCTCCAAGCAGTCGAGACTGGTATACAGAAGAATGAATGTAATAAATTGCGGGAAGAGATTGAACAATTGAGAGGCGAGCTCGAACACCGCGCGTTGAAGGGTGACTTCAATTGTAATGCTCGCGTTCTACACTTCACGATGAATCCTGCAGCAATTGCGGAGAAACAAGCCGAGGAAAAACAAGCGGCTTTATTACAAGAATTGGAAGAGCTTCGTGCCAAGGTAGCGTCAGGAGATTGTGGTACGACAGTATCATCATTGCAAATGCAAGGTGGATAGACACATCAAAGTATATTTTTTTATTTTCCTTATTTTTTACACGCGCCGGTAGTTTTATTTTTGTTTTCGTTTAATATAGAAATCGCGGAATTAAAGAAAACGCACGAAATAAAGATAGCGCGTTTGAAGGAGGCTTTCAAGGCTTCCTCGCAAGAATACCGCCAAGCGTGCTACCAGCTATTCGGTTGGAGGGTGGATCGAACAAAAGAGGGTTGCTACAAGTTGTCAAGTCAATATGCAGAGTCGCCGGACGATTTCCTATTTTTCCATGTAGGCGAAGAGGGTGTGGATATGTTGGAGACGGCCTTTTCTGCAAATTTGGGCAATCTAATTGAACAATACTTACAAATACAACACAGTGTCCCTATGTTTCTTAATGCTATACAATCCGATCTATTCAGTCAGCAAACAATAACAAATGTCATGACATAACATTGTTTTATGTCTATGAATAAAACTAATATTTTATTTAAGGCTCAATATACAATAATGTAACATTATTTAGATTAATACATTCATCCAACATGAATGGGTAATAAATTTCTATAATTTTTCTGCATAAAAAATTGCATTTATTCACATATCAATCTATTAATTTTTAAATTGAAATTAAGTTTTTATCTATAAATGATATATATATATTTTTTACAACACCGATTATATTTCAAATCTATTCTATCTTATGCTGATAATATCTTTCCTATCTTCAGTTGCTACGAACAATATCTAGAATAATGATTTAAAAAATATTGAGATTTCTCTATATCTAATTATCAATCATAAATAAGGAAATATATAACAAAATTATATCTTTTTAATTTAAAATATAACGTTAGTATAGAATATCATATATCGTATGATAAAGAACTGAGAGAACTGAAGAACAGGGTATGATAAAGAACTTTACTAGAATAATCATCCATTCTGTAAAAGTCTATCTGAAATCTATACAAAGCTATTTAACATAAAATGTTCGAAATTTTTTATACGAAGTCAGCAATAACTTTAAGATAATTAACAATTTTTAAGAAACACTGACAAAAACAATTATGCAGATATTAAAATCAAGATATTTTTTTATTCGAATACGCAATATAAAAAATACCATATTTCTAAACAAAGATATATTGGAAGATTTATTATAAATTTTTTTTCTTCCCTCTTCAATTCGTCAATCTTGAAATATACGATTCTCACGCTATTCCTCCTATGAATCTTTAATAAAAACGTCAAGAAGATTCACCGATTCACTCTTATCACGCATAAAAATCTTACGAGAAGACATAGAAAAGGACATAACGTCGAAGTTGAAAATCGCGTCGGACCATCGGCGACCATCCCGCGGGAGACTTTACCGTCTCAGCCACGTTTGTACGTGCCCAGAAAGGGGAGGCCTGTCCCAGAGCGATTCCCATTGCTTTGTTCAGTGAAGGAACTGTGACGGTGATCTTCATTAGTGACTAAGCCACTATATGGAACCTTCGCCTACTATATGTGAACAAATGCGCACTCATACATTCCTAAAATTTACCATTTGCCTGCGTGTAAATACGTGTGCATCTGGGTGACCAAAAGCATTTCGTGGTAACGAAGAGGAAGAGGGACAGAGAGAGAGAGGGAGAGAGAATGGTCGTCTGTGCTGGAGCTGACGACGGGAACTCGATATAACGGTGCCAGCTGCGAAGGGACTCGAGTCGACAGGAACTCCCGAGCTGAAACTCCATTATCCTTAATTATAATCGCGTTTAATCGCAAACTCATCCTGCGCTCTCCCTCGCATACGTGCCGCCCTCGCGCCTCGCAAACCCATCTTCGTCCTTGTCCTCGTCCTCGTTCTCGTTGCACCTCGCCTCGCACCACCGCCCGCCGCAGCCGCTGCCGGTTATCAATCTGGAATCAACGCGAGGGTATTTCTCCACAATGGGGATGAAGTGGATGGATCTGCCGAAGAAGAAGAAGATTATCTATTAACGGTGCCACCGAGAGAAAGAGAGAGAGAGAGAGAGAGAGAGAGAGAGAGAGAGAGAGAGAGAGAGAGACAGAGAAAGAGAGAGAGAGTTCTCTCGCCTTTCTGAGGGACGGGTCGTATGTGCAACGTGTATGCGGGGGATGGAGAAACAGAGGGCGAAAGGATGGGAGGGGGAGGGGATGGAAACGTCGCGGCGCCGAAGAAGGGATGCTGGTAGACTCCGCGCTAACTTCCACGTCCGTGTGCTCGCGGCACCGCCAGAAGGAACTTTGTCGATCAGAGTTGCGAAGGAGATTCCCAGTTATATCGGCAGTACCACCCTGTAGATACCTCTGGAGAAACGATCGTGGACCTTGTGGCGAAGGGGTTGAATACGTCGGCGGGATAATGCGAGGTTGCTTTCGCCGCGGGGTTACCTTTGCATTCTTCTCTCGGAATCATTTCCGACGATCTGACTTGTTTCCACTGATTCACGACTCGATTAATCTCTTAGTATTACCGGGGAAGAAATAACAACTTCTACCAAACTGGCTTCGAATTTACAATCAATTTCATTGTGACAACTATTTGTAACTACAGTGGAAATTTTCGCTACAACAACAAGATCTAATTAAAACCATTCTATAAAGCGTAATGATATCTTTATATATAATATTATTGTGAGAAAAAAAAACAGATAATCAGAAAAAGAAAAAAAGTTCGATAAAGTAAATTTTAATGTATAAAACGTATAAAAAAAAGTATGACATTTAATTATTAAAAAATTGATATATTCAGGATAATTGATCACGCTGTCATAATTCATCTTTCTGGCGTACTTAAGATACACGAGACTTTTTATGGCGGAGTGGTACTTTCAACATCGCGCGACACTGAAGAACTTCGAGATGATCGCTTAAGACTCAGCGAGAAAACTGAGGAGACGAAGGATGCGAACGCGAAGTAGGTCAGAGAAGGATAATTATCTATTTCTCGGCTCTATTACACCTAAAGTACCGGCTAAAGAGGAAAAAGCTAGTAAGGAGCATGACAGGCACGAGGAGGCAGCAAATCACTTTAATTTTCAAAATCGTTATAGCCATAACCCCGGTAAAACTTTTCAGTTGCTGCACTCGCGTGTGCTTTTAAGCAGTGGCGCAAATTGTGCGAAAGATATTTTCGCTCGTGTTATAATGCGCGTATAAACTTAATAACATTTCATCTTCTTTTCTACGTGTAGAGGGATATTCTATCGTTCTCTTTATTTTTTTTTTTTTTCCTTCCAATCTTCAATTTGTAAAAATAAGGCGGATATCGTCGTAATTTGGATTTTTAATTACAAGTCGCAATTAAAATTTCGCCGTTTCTAAATTTTCATCTCAAATCTGCAACATGCAGATTTAATTTCAAAGTCTCTGGCGAATCTGAAATTACGATTAATCGCCCGGATTCGTCAGAATAGGGAAACCGCCGCGAGTGACGCGTAGGTGGAAAATTTCACCTCTGTGAATTTCGCTTCATTCGGCCTTTCATCCCCGACTGCGAGCGAGCCACACGAAAGCCGTAACGAAGAAATATTAGCGCTAAGCTGGCGAATGAATACGAATCCGCACTTTAAATCTTGGAGAGGACGACGGGCGGGGTCAGGGACCGAAATAAAAGCTGACGCTCGGCTGAGGCCAGGCGTGGAATGGTCAGAGGGTTGTAATTATCTGTTTCTCGGCTCCATTACATCTAAAGGACGAAGGGGCGGGGGGGGGAAGGGGGAGGACGTCGTCGCCACCGCCGCCGCCACCATCGTGGCGAGAAAAGCGGAGCGGGCCGGCGCGGGTGGCGAACGTGACGGGAAATAAGAACAGGCCGAGTGGCAGCCGGAAATTACAGAGTCTACAAGCAGCAAGTACTGACAGTGAAACTGACAATATGTACGGAAGACACGGGGGAATAACCGGGTGGAAAGAAGTTTCGTTGACTACTCCTGGACGATTGTTCCTCGAACGTCCTCGCGCCGGCAATCGAAGGACGACAATCGATATTTTCTATAAAGACCAGCCCGCCCCGTTCCTGGATATTTAACCATCAATGTGTTTTGTCGCGAATTTAAAATTGTCTTAATAACAAGAATAATAATAACCATCGACATCGACGAATCCATCATTCAAATGTAAATGGGCAATTTAATATTTATAGATATTTATACTTTGCTTTAATGAATAATCTTCTTGTTTTAGAACGCAAGTTATTTTATACAGGTATTACAGACTTCATACATTATAGATTATACTAAATATTTTTAGTTTAGTTTATACTGCTGACGTCAGGTAAATGTCGCAAGATGGTAACGGTGGGGAGCGTATTTCTAGACACAATCGTACTTCGTATCGGACGTGTCCACTCATCATTGCCGCGAGTACGTTACGTTTCTTCGAAACGGCCACTAAGAAACTTCCGCTGCGGGCGATCTAACATCCGACAGACAATTTTCTGCGGACAATTCGGCCGCAGCAACGTCGTCGTCGTCGTCGTCGTCGTCGTGGTCGTCGTCGCAGATACGGCGAGGACGAGACGCGCGGAAACGATAGTTGGCTCGCTGGCAAGCTCCAATCTCCGGATGCCCTCTCGAGCACACCTCTATTAGGAGGGATGGGGAATATCCTCCCCCGTCACGTCCCGATCGTTTCGCGAGCCTCGTCCACGGTGGGGGCGAGTCTGCCCCTAACGACACCGCCGTCTTCCTTTTTGCCGGGGAGAGACCGGCGGCTCTTTTCTTAAATGGCGAAAAACGGGTAGGAGGTCCCTTTGATGAATCGGTGCCGAACTGCGTCCGGCATACGTAAACCCCTGGAGGGAATCACCGACGATCGGGATGAACGATGCGTCTGTGCGCGCGACGAAGCGAGAAGAATGGCGAGGAGGAAACGGCGACGACGCGAGACGGCGGGGTGGAAACACTTGGGATGAGGGGAAACCAGGCACTTTTGCCAGAGGATATACGTCCAGTATAGGAAATTAACTCCCCTCCGTCGCACGTCGTTCGTCTTTCTACCTCCGGTCAGAGGGAAAAAGAGAAAAAGAACCGCCGGTGACAAGCTGCAGGTGCGCCGACGATCGCCGGTCGCCAGTGCGAGTGACCATCCGATCTACGATCTACTTTTGTACTCGTAATATCAATATATCTTTTTCAGAAATGTAGCGGGACTATAATGTTATATTGTATTTAATTGCTGCGGTATTGGTATCGATTTAATTTAATTGTTACGCGATATTATTCGCGCTGGGATGATTTTTTTTTTTTTTTTTTCTTTTCATCTCACCGTCAAAATTGATTATCGCTTATCGCTTTTAATAACGTGTTTGTCGATCGCTGTTCGTAATACCTTATACCTCGCCCCGTAATAAATCAGGTTACAAGCTGCGCTCGCAATACGGGGCTGAAGCATCGCAGAATCGAGCGGGTAGGAATGACGTTCTCGTTTCCTAGGAG